CATCAGCAAGTGGCTAGACCCAAGGGCTAGAGTTGCTAATTTGGTAGCAGCAAGACACCCCCAGCCCCAGCTGGCTCACTGGCCAGAGCTGGGCATTCAGGAAGGCATGAATGTGCGTGACGGTGCAGGGGATCCCTTCAAGGGTGAAATAAGCAGCAACGTAAGGCGATCAGATGTAGTACTGAGCCCGTGCCTCTGGGAGTGAGGAAAGGCCAGCAGCAATGGGGCGGAGCGGGGGCGTCTCGGGTGAAGAAGGCCGAGTCTGCGCCGGAACCCTTGACTTACACTAATTTATCAGAACGAGTGTGGGCGCTCAGAGGCATCACAGGGCAGCTTCCCGTCTGTGGGCTTGCTTGCTGTTCCAGACTAGATCAGGGCATTAAGGATGGCTCAGGGCAATAAAAAGTGAGTCAGTGCTCCTTCACCTCGCTTGGGCAACTCTAATTATGTCACTACCACAGAAATACACACACACCCCCAAATACAGACATGTGCTGGATTGAAGAAACTTACTCTGCTCCAACCAAGAGGACAAAGCCACCTGCACCCTAGCTGGCCAATTACTCTACAGAGCAACAAGCTGAGAAATCACCCCGTTGGTGGCCAAATGACAATCAGCATCAACAAGCAGTAAGATTTTCAGAAGGAAAAAAGTACCCACAGATCCAGCTAAAGAAATAAAGCAGGAAGCCCATACATAATTCTTCCCATTACACTTTTCCCTCTCTCCCCAAGCCCTAGCCCCACCCCAGGTAACCATCCCTCTAACAACTTTAATTTTGTTTCACAGTTTGGTAGCATTCCTTATGTGACCACAATTTAACCTCCTATTGACGGACATTTAGGCTGATTAGGTTGCTTATGTTTTGAGTGTGTTTTTCTCTTACAAACAACGCGACTCTGAGAACTTTCCTCCGTGTCTCTGTGGTATATGTGCAAGAGTTTCTTTCGGGTCATAGACCCAGAAATGGAATGGCTGGATCATGTTGTGTGCACGTCTTTAACATTTACAGATATTGCCAAATTGTTCTCTAAAGTGATTGTGTCAAAAAAAAATAAAATAAAAAAGCGATTGTGTCTATTTACATTTCTCCAAGCAACGTAATAGACTTCCTTTTGCTTCATATCCTTGCCTATACTTACTGCCCCGACAGGTTGTCAATATAGGGGGTATAAACAGCATTTCAATGTGGCTTTGTTTTCACAGTCCTCTGATTACTAAGGAAATAGATTATGTTTTCATAGGTTTATTGTTCATTCACATTCCTTTTCTTTTAATTATTGGTTCATTTTTTTGTCCATCTAACTGGGTTGTTTAATTACTTTATGAAATTGTAAAATATATATTCTTTAGTTTTTCAATGTTGTTTTTGCTCTTTTGAAATAGGAAGTAAAAGAGTGTTTTTACTTAGATAAATTCACAAATGACAGATCTACAGTGAGTTGTTAAAGAAAAAGGTAGGGCTTTTTTTTTTTTCAGGTTGAGGTCATAGAAAATTATTGCACAACCTTCTGTCTGGGCTTAGGGTACACTGATCTGACTCAGTGACATTCTTCATTTTCTTTCACATACATTAGGGCTTCAGGTAACCTGGAAGGAGCTGGGGGTGGGAAGAAAAGGGGATCAGGGGCAGACACTCTGCACAACAAAAAAAATGATAAATTCTAACCTGGCCAGTTGATTGGAAGTTTATATGTGTACATATGGCTTGTGGGCTCCCATGTACCATAGCCCCAGGCCCTGCAAATGTTGGACAGACCTGAAGGTGGGTAACAAGTGGGAAGGTGAGATCTGGGGTCAAGAGGCGTATAGGAGTGCTGCTAATGTTCCAGACAGATCTCTTCTGATCCTTTTATATCCCCCCCTGCCTCCCCACCTCCCACCCTCGCAGGCTTGTAGGGGTTTGTGTGAGGGGCTATATTAGGGACTGCCCTCAGACCACCCGAAGCGCCTGGAAGCTTAAGCTCCCTCACCTGGGGCAGCTCTTAGCCAAGGACGGAGGGTGAGGGAGGAGGGAAGCCCAGTTCCCTTGCCTCCAGAGCACTCCCGCCAGGCCAGGCTGAGATCACATGTGTGGCCCCAGCCTTGCCCTTTCTCCCGTTCCCTGTCCTGCACCCGAAGAGCAATTCCCGAACAAATCAGATGCACAAGAGTCCTCTCTGGATCTGCTTCTGAGTACCTGACTGAAGATGGGCATTTGGGGGGTTGTTTTGTTTTCTGTTTTGAAAGAAGGGGAAATTATATCATGTTTTGTATGCCCTGGGGAATGGCCTGAGGGGGAGGGACAAGTGAGTCTAGCAGGAGAAGGGAGGGAGAGCTTTGGGAGTGATGTCCTTGAGTGAGCAGGGTGGATGGCCGTTGCTCAGGAGGAGGCACTGACTCGGGGGAGTAGCACCGACAGCTCAGCCACTGCTGGCAGGAGAGACAGCAGCAAATAAGGGTGAAATGCAGGTGGAGCGGGACACTGGGTGATGGGAGAGGGAATCCTCTTCCAGTGGCTTCCCTCAGGGAAATGAGTGAGGCCATCAAGTGAAGAGAGAGTGGAGAGTGATGGAGGTCAGAGGAGCTGCAAGAAGCTGAAAACAGTCCAAGAGATCAGATCAGCTGAAAACAGTCCAAGAGATCAAAAGGGTGACGTAAGTAGGGAAATGGCACAGGATTGCAGGAAACACTGAAAGGCCATTTGAGGTTTGTGGTCATTGGTTTTAAACACTAGTCCAGAACACTGTATCGTTTTACACCAGCCACAACCAAGAATTTCAGTACAAATGTGGTGTTAGCAGACTAACCACAGTTTGGATTCTGCCCATGAGTAAGACTGAAGGCAAGGCAAGGCAAGGCAAGGGTGTTTACAGTGGGTGCAGGAGAGAGAAGTTAATGATAATTCATGGACTCTAGCTGGGTAAAGAGGAAGGAGGGAAGAAGGGAAGGAAGGAAGGGGTAGTGTTGACACTAGGAAGATGACAGGGTTGATAGACTAATAGAGGCCCTGGTGGCACTGAAGACTGTTGGAAGGAAAGTCCTAGAGGAAGTGAGATGGTGGTTGTCAGAGAGGGAGAGGCACACTTGAAATTGAGACTTGGGTGGAAGCACAGATGTTGGTAATGACAAAGTTTACTGGATGCATGATTGGGAAGACAAGGAAGTTAAGCTGATTTAAAGAGGGTGGGGAAGATCAGGAACAAACACAGATGAAATAATGGAAAAATGTATACCGAAGTAGAGTTATAAATGAATTAACTCTTCTTTATGTGTTCTTGTATTTCCCAATTATTCCACAATGAGTGTCCATTACTATGTAAGCAGAAAAAAGTTATTAAGTAAAATCAAAGATATTACTCAAAGGTAAAAAGGAAAAAAAAAATCTTATTTATTGGTAAATCAATTACTATTATTTACAAGTATCAAATCCACAAAGCTTATAAAGTTATTCCAGTTCTAAAATTGTACCCGTATTTTCCATCATCTTGCATAGAATCATTTAAAATGAGACCAAATGAGAAATGTGAGTTTTACAGTGCATGCACTTTGTTTCAGGCAATACCTATTTTGAAATGCATACATATTTGTATTTGTACCTGCATTAAGAAACCCTGAAATTACGAGGATTGGGCATACAGTAGACAGAAATGGGAGTAAGACTTCTCTTGGGTACCTTTTTATGTTTTATCATCTTTGAACAATGAAAAGATATTCTCTATTCAAATATAAATTTAAAAATTAAGAATTAATAAAATTATAAATTTTAATATAAAAACTTTTAAAAATCATATATACAGCCCGGCCAGGCGTGGCTCAGCAGTTGAGCGTTGACCTAGGATTCAGGCGATCAGGGTTCGATTCCCGGTGAGGGTACATGCCTGGGTTGCGGGCTCGGTCCTCAGGTGGGTGCGTGCAGGAGGCAGCCGATCGGTGACTCTCATCACTGATGTTTCTATCTCTCTCTCTCCCCCTCCCTTCCTCTCTCTAAAGTCAATAAAGGTATATTTTTTTAAAAAAAGTTAAAAAAAATCATATATACAAAAGTTATGTTAGGAAATGGTTGTTTATATTGACAAGTGAATCTTTCTTTAAACAGAGAATTTCCCCTAGTACTTTTAAAAAAGAGTTCCAATTTCAAAAACGTAGTTCCTGTTCTAAGATACAAATGTGTCAGTATATTCTTAACACAAACTTAGAAGAAAACTGCAGACTTTTGACAAGACCCCATACTCTATCAGAAAAAAAATAATTTGTCACAATATATACCTCCCTAGAGGATGATTATACTTGTTTGGTTTGGCTCCAGAGTTTAGAATGAGAACCAGTGATTTTAAGTACATTGTAAGGAGGTAGATTCAAGTCCAGCAGAGATAAGAATGATTAAAGCCGTCCAAACGTGAAACCAGGGGCAGGACTGCAAATCCACCACTAACAGCTGTGAGAATTCAACAAGCCACCTAGCACTCTGAAGGCTGGACTGCAGGGTCTAAGGGGTTCTTTTAAGCTCCCAGACCCATGACTCTGCATGTGATGCGAGCTCCCGCTACTGGAAGAGTTAAGCAGAGGTGAAGGATGAGAGGATTTGCAACCCTGTCATGGGTGAGGGGACGGATTGGAGCAGGTTTCAAATAGAGTAACCACAGGCATCTGACGATAAATTTGAAGACCTCCAGCTGAGGACCCTCATCCATGCTCCATTAAAAAGTGCAATGTATGGGCATGCAATGCAATATACAGATCATGTATCATACACATGTTCCCTTGAGACCTATAAAATCTTATTAACCAATGTCACTCCAGTAAATTTAATTTTTTTAAAAAGTTTAATGTAAAGTTCATCACTTTCTGTGAACACCAGGATGTGAGCACAGGGATTGTGTGGCAGAACTTGAATATATCTATCTATCTATCTATCTATCTATCTATCTATCTATCATCTATATCTATCTATCTATCTATCTATCTATCTATCTATCTATCTATCTATCTATCTATCTATCTATCATCTATCTATCTATCATCTATCTATTCCTTAATCCTCCCAACAAATAATATTTTCTCTACTTTATAGATAAGGCTCAAAAAACTAGCTTGAGTTAGTGTTTCAGAACAAGGGAGTCACAGGGCAAAACAGAAACCCAAAGCTTCTAGCTCCAGATCCTTTGCTCTTTCCTTTGTACCACACCCCACTTCCCTTGCAGAGAAGGACTGTTAAATGGCCAACAGCTGTGTATATGCAGTTGAACAAAGACTGTAACCACCAATTGTTAGCTTTGACTTGTATGAACAATAGTTTTGGACGACCATCCTGACATTTGTATTAGATTCATTTCCTTAGCCAACCTACGTTCAAATCCATGTGACTGCTAGCTACATTACAGCAAGGTTCTTATGACTATTTCTAGAAGAAAGTTCATCATAAATGAATCTGACTTGCAAATAAATAATTATAAAATCAAGCACCAATGAGAATTGTCTTCATTCCCTGACATCTTTCATGAGCATCTGCATATCCAAGGAGATGTTCACAAGGTCCTGTTATGTCCCGTGACAGCCCAGCTCAGTTACACAGGAGATAGTATCGTAAACAGTACCGGGCTGGAAGGCTGTAGCAAACTGCCCTGCCCCCTTGGGCCTCGGCTTCACCTATAAATGAAGGCCGTAACCACAGCACTTTCGATCTCCCTCTTTCCAAAAGTCCCCCTTGAAACTGAAGAGTTCACATACATAAAAATGCTCCAGACCTTGACTTTAAGAGTTTCAAGGCTCCCCTACAGAGCCACCCTATCCACATGGCATAGCCAGGCGCCTCTCTGGCTAAGGAGAGGGCGGCAATCCCTGTGGGCAGCTTCAGTCCCTCGAGCTGCTCTGTCTTCTTCCTTCGGGCTAGAGAGCAGAGCGTGTCAGTGACGGGGTGGGGCTGTTGACTGCAGTCAGCACAGCGCCACTGTCAGCCCTGAGGGCCCCTGGCCACGAGACAGACGCTGCACCGCAGGAAGCCAGCACCACGCTTTCACCCGTTTGAGTGGAGTGTTCTGTCACCAGCGTCTGAAAGGTTCTGACCACCATGGGAGCAGCAGGATGTCAAGTTTCTGCTCCCAGAGTAGCTGAATGTGTGTCTCTTACTACACTCAGCCGTCATCTTCCTAGGGCCAGCCCAGTTCCCAACGCAGGAAAAACAGTTCTGTAGGAACAGATTCCTTAACACTAAAGCGGGAAACGAACACGGCGTAACTCAAATTTTCCCCTTGGAAGGGAAAAATAGAGGGAGAGTCAGGGAACCGTGATCTCGTCACCAGCCAATGTCTAAAAGGCGGCCATGCAGAGGGGACACAGGAGTGGCCCCTTATAACAAGGAGTGGTCGTGTAGAAGGGAACCTTGAAAGACTCCTGGTCCTACCTTTTACTTCACAGATACACAAACCAAAGCCAATTACTTTTTTCTCAGGGTGCACAGCTAAAACCAAGACTATAATCCAAGGCACCAATAAAAAAAAAAGTTTTGTAACATTTAGACTTATTAAAAAGGGGAAAGAAATAACAGAATTTACTGTGTCAGAAAATAGAGCATTTCTTATTACTAGAATGACAGATGAAGGCCAGCTCACCATCTGTCAGTAATTCCCATGCTGGTGGGACGTTGGAAGAGAAGTTTCCTTTCAAGTCTAAGAGTCAAAGAAAACTCTCTAATGAAAGTTCTTCCTGTGGCACAGGGAATATGACTTTTCTACGTAGTGTGAAAACAGGTTGAGGGATCTGTTTCTTTGTTCCACCTCGTCTACTCACATCATCATTGACAGCAGTGAGGATGGATAAGATGTCTTCATGTCTACAGGCAGAGAAGAAAATATATTTTCAATCAGGAGACAGAAATCAGGTACCAAGTCTTAGAAATAAGACTATAAATCATGTGGCTTCTTCTTAGCCTAATATATCCAGATTCTAACTGGAATCCTGCCAAATATAAAGAAATACTTCTGAAATTGAAAAAAATAAATGCTAGATTATATAAAATTTTCAATTCTACATTCAGTGTTTAAGAGCATTATAATAAGTATGCCTTGCATTTCAGTGTACATAGTCCATAAAGGAATTTTACATATAATTATTTTTCCATGTTCTTCCTTCAAGCTGGTAGACAGACAGATGACAGATAGTTGGAAATAATAAATAGGCAGGTGACAGAGATAAAGAAAGAGAGCCTACTATTAATAATGTCCTCTCTATTCTTGGTTTGGAGACGGATACAAAGATAGATATGATACAATCCCTGATCTTAAAAAGTAAAATGAAGATATAAAACGTACCAAGGATAACATACACACAAAATTATAATACAAGGTAGAAAGTGATCAACGCCCTATGAAAAGGTCAAAGTTCCATTGAAAGTTCGGAGGAGAAAGAACTTCTAGAAGAGAAGTCTCCATAGAGGAGGCAACATTTGAGCCTGGGCTTGCAGGGTGTGTGGCATTTATAGAATGAATGTTCCAGGGGTGAGCAATACATATCCTTGAAAGCAAAGCATGGGCTCTTGAGACAGACTCAAGTTTGAATCATAGCCCTACCACTCCCTGATTATAGGGTCTTAAGCAGGTTACTTACTTTCCTATGCTTCAGTCTTCTCAGCTCTAAAATGACCATAATAATGCTCATTTTAGGGATCGCCGTGAGAATTAAATGAGGTCATTTATGTAAAGCACTTAGAACACTGGCTACAATATTCCACTGACCTTCACTTTTAGTCGTATCAGTATTACTACTCCTCCTCGGCATCACCATTGCCGTTTTTCAGGCGGGATGCAGGCCCTGCCTGGGTCCTAGTCCTTCCATCCTGCCTCACACTCGCTGCTTCCTCTGTCCAGAAACCTTCCTGTAGCTGACTTCTCTTTCTCATCCTTCAGTCACGCTTCAACTGTCACCTCTACCAAGAAGCCTTTACAAGTAGCTCCTTGCCCCACTCTCTGTATCACTGTCCTCTTTTGTTTTCTTCATAGCAGGTATCACTTCCTGAAATTACCTTATTAATGTAAATATTCAGTTACTTACATTTTTATTATATGTCTCCCTCTCACTGGACTGTAAGCTCCATGGAGAAGGGATTTTTGTCTCTTTTGTCTCTCATAACCATCCCCCTACCCCCCAGCTCAGCACCCAGCGTAGCAGGCACATAGTCTCCCCTTGATAAATATTGTCTCATCTCTGAAGCCATAGAACATTGGCCTTTGATGGCTATGGTTGGGATGGAGAGGTTGGTTAAAAAGAGGAAAAAGCTTGGATAACTCAAGGCTCCAATCAAACTCCCAGAAGAACATTGTGGCCATTTCTAGGGATGGGATTCAGGAGTAGGAGCTCCTGGAGAGGACTGAAAAGATGAATTCAGGACTGTTCAGATGGGATATGAGTGAAGTCCAAGGGCAACACAAAAGTAAGATGTCTGGCAGGCTGTGCAAAAAATGTGCAAGACCGCTCTTCAGAATGAGGTTGACATGGTCATTCATTCATTGGTCCAGCAAATAGTTAGCAATCCAACAATATGTCAGACACTATGTCAGGTGCTGAGGATATAAAATTGAATGAAGCTACCCCTCCAGAAACTCAGAGATGGCAATTTGGAAGACATTTTCATGGAGATGTCAGTGGCCTCCAGGTATAGCTAAAACTGCCAAGAGGGCTTATAAGGAGGCAGCGGAGAAGGAGGTCCAAGGCAGAACCTTGGTGAAGGCCCATTTCCAGGGTGCCAGGTAAGAAGCATGTGGCACACACAGAAGGAAAGAGCAGAGGCAGGAGATGAACAGGCAGGTGGATAGATAGATGGATAAACAGGTAGGTGGAAAGAAAAATGTGAAACTCTTACCTTGGGACCCAGTCCTTCAAATAATTATACAGAGACTGAATATACCAGCTCCCTTCTGTCTTATGACGAAAGGATACGTAGCCAGGGACAGTGGCCAGACCAAGAAGGAAATCTGCTTCAACAGGAACACTGTCCTGAAGGGGAAGGTGCACTGACTCAGGATTTACAGCATCTGCTTCAATGACTACAGAAGATTGTATCTCTTCACCTTGACAGGCCTGGATGAAAAAGAGTTTGGGTTTGTTAGCCAGACCAGGGCACTGCTGAGCTGTGAAGTGAGACATGATTTCCCGAATGGGAATGAGGGCCTCATCTGAAGAGTAGATAGCTCCAAATTTCCCATGAGTCAGAGCACAGAACACAAAGCAGTCTCTGTCAGCATGGTCTGGACGACTCTTATATTTTTGCAGAACCTCCTCCAGGCATTTTTTAGTCACATCCACATGCACGTCTACGGTGAACCCAAGCCACTGAAACACACGCTTCAGGCACTCTGTTAAAAATAAAATAAAATAAAATAATGAAAATTGGGTGAAATGAAATAAAAGAAATGGGTCAAACACTGCTAATAGTTATAAAAACTGCACAGCAAATAGCCTGAAGCTTTGGATTATTTTTTTACTTTCATAACAATAAAATTTTATAATTAACCTGCCTTTTTATGGTACCCACAGTGCTATCACAATGGGCCTGAGCGTGAGCAGAGGCCAGAGTTCATTCTGTTTTAAGGATGAGGGAGCTGAGGTCCTGTGACTCTCCCATGGTCACAGTCCTGGCTGGTGGTAGAGTCAGAGCTCAAACGCAGGTTTTCTCATGCTGACCCAGCATGCTCGCCCCCAAACTGCAGAATCATATGTGGTCAGGGATTCTTTTCACCCTTTTTTTTTTTGGTTAATCCTCACCTGAGGACATTTTTTCCATTGACTTTTAGAGAGAGAGAAAGGAAAGGAGGGAAGAAGGGAGAGGAGAGAGAGAGAAAGAGAAACATCGACATGAGAGAGATACATTGATTGGTGGCCTCCCAGGGAGGGAATCCGCAACCCAGGTATGTACCCTTGACCAGGAATCTAACCTGAGACCCTTTGGTGGGAGGGCCGATGCTCTAACCGCTGAGCCACACTGGTCAGGGCCCTTTGCACTCTTTAAGCATGTTGGTGGCACCCCATGTGTTATGGTCTGAGAGTTTATGTGTCCCCAAAATTCATATGTTGAAATCCTAACCCTCAAGATATGGGTATTAGAAAGTGGGGCCTTTGGGAGGTGCTTAGGCCATGACGGTTGAGCCCCTAAAGTGTCCCCAGAGAGCTCTCTTGCCCCTTCTACCAAATGAGGTTACAGCGAGAAGATGGCCATCTAGGAAACAGACTCTCACCAGACCCTGAAATACCAGAGCCTTGATCTTAGACTTCCTGGTCCTCAGAACTGTGAGAAACGAAGGTTTGTTGTTTACAACCCACACAGTTTTGGTAGTTTGATACAGCAGCCTGGATAGACTAAAATACTAGGGGTATACAAGAAGCTTAGAAACATTTATAATATCATCCTTACATTTAAATGGAAGATAAACATTACAGAAAAAAAGGAAGATACAAGATGATTTTAAGAGCCCCAAATTGCATTTGATATACTCTTACAGCCTTTCTTACCAGCATCTTTATTGGTCCCATGTCTTTCTGACAGTGAGGTAAAGTTGTGGTTGTTGATAACAACACAGTAGCCTCTATGTTTACGGTCCATCCTGTACACGGTTTCCTCCTTGAAAGAAGAAGAGATAGAGCCACTTATAGAGAACCCTCACTTTAAGAGTTTAATGTGTCTAACCAATGACTCCATATATCAGTACCAAAGGCAGAGAATTATCAAGTGTGTCCCCTCCCTAGTGAATTATCAATAGTATCCTTTCCATAGCCAATGGTCAGCACACTTCTGATGGTTATAGAAAAAGGTAGGAAGGACAGAGATAATCACAGAGAGAGGAAGAAGAACCAAGACAGTCACAAAGAACTCTGAGCCCTCAAAGTCACTAAGGCTGGACCCCAGTTGGAGACGCCCTGAAGAAACTGCCCACACCTTTGTTCTGGTTTCAGAAGTTAGACTGTAAGCAGATGGTCCCAACATCTCCATAGAGACCAGGGTTACTTGGTCACCTAGAAAGAGAAGTACTCATATTCTTCAAATATCTTTCCCCAAACACTTAGATGTTCTTACACTCTACCCAAGAGTCAGCATTTATCTGTCCCTGGCTAGAGAGAGGCTGGGCAGGTACCAAGGAGAAGAAAGAGGGGATAAAAAGGCCCAAACACTCAACCCGGGAAGGACAAAAACTAGTCCATAGCCCTGGGATTACTTAGTCATCCACTGGCTGAGAATTGCAGTATTTTGAAGGATTTCTGCCAATTCCCTGGTTCTTCTAAATAAGAATTCATCAGAGGGAGGAAGCCAATGATGTGTTATTTGTCACATGACAGTAACAGGAAAATGTCTCTTGAAACTTTTCTCTCACCAACAAGACTTGAGTAGAATCCAGAAAGCTCTGCCCTTGCCTCTTAGGCCTAAGTTAATTATTAACTATGGTTAAGGATCAGTCCTGGGTGCTCAGTTCAGGCTGAGCAAGTGCAGCGTCCCCCAGACCAGAAAACACACCAAGAAGGACCCAAGCTGCAGTCATACAAAGCACCTGTACATTCCTCCTCACCTTGGGAGAAGACAGGGTTCCAGGGAAGCCATGTCTAAACTTTGAAACCCCAGGATTGCAATACTGAAAGAAACTTGTTTACTTTTCAAAGAAGCGAAGCCTGAGCTCCAGTAGCTACACAGTGTAACAGCCAGGTTTTCAGAGGGTGAGCTCTGGGGTTAGACTGCCGGGTTCAAATTCCAGCTCTATTACTTTCTAGCCACATGACTTTCAGCAAAGTACTAGACCTCTTGGGTCTCGGTTTCCTCATCAGTAAGTGATAATGTGATTAGAAAATTAAATGAGATAAGCCCTAGAAACCTCTTAGAACAGTGCCTGGCACATTACAAGTACTCAATTATGATGAACTCTCACCAGCATCATACCATGTAACCTCCCAGTTAAGCAGAAGAAGATTCCTAGGTAAGTGGAGTGTGTTGAACTCTGAAATTTAAATTTGCAGGAAAAAATCAAAACAACCTTGTATTGGTACAACAACGGACATATATATAGATCAATGGAACAGAACAGAGACCCCAGAAATTGACCCACGCCATTATGGTCAATTAATATTTGACAAAGGAGGCAAGAGCATACAATGGAGTAAAGACAGTGCCTTCAATGAATGGCGTTGGGAAAATTGGACAGGTACATGAAAAAAAATGAAACTAGATCACCTACTTACTGCATACAAAAGAATAAACTCAAAATGGATAAAAGACTTAAATATAAGTCAAGAAACCATAAAAATCCTGGAAGAAAACATAAGCAGTAAAGTCATAGACATCTCATGTAGTGGACTTTTCACTGATACATCTCCTAGGGCAAGAGAAACAAAGGGAAAAATAAACATATGGGACTACATCATACTAAAAAGCTTCTGCACAGCAAAAGAAAACAGCCTCAAAATACAAAGGGAACCCAAGGTATGGGAGAACATATTTTCCAAGAATACGTCTAATAAGGGGCTAATTTCCAAAGTGTACAAAGAATTCCTACAACTTAACAAAAGGTAGACAAACAACCCAATTAAAAAGTGGGCGAAGGACCTAAATAGACACTTCTCCAAAGAGGACATACAGATGGCTAAGAGACATGTGAAAAAATGTTCAAAGTCACTAATCATCAGAGAGATGCAAATTAAAACCACCATGAGGTGCCACTTCACACCTGTCACAATGGCCACCATCAACAAATCAACAAAGGACATGTGCTGGCGAGGGTGTGGAGAAAGGGGAGCCCTAGTACACTGCTGGTGGGAATGCAGACTGGTGTAGCCACTATGGAAAGCAGTATGGAGGTTCCTCAAAAAATTAAAAATGGAGCTGCCTTTTGACCCAGTGATTCCACTCCTAGGAATATATTCTAAGAATCCTAAAACATCAATCAGAAAGAATATATGCACCCCTATGTTCATAGCAGCGCAATTTACAATAGCTAAGATCTGGAAACAGCCCAAGTGCCTACCAGTAGATGAGTGGGGCATTCACACCATGGGATACTACGCAGCTGTAAAGAAGAAGGATCTCGTACCCTTTGGGACAGCATGGATGGACCTGGAGAAAATTATGCTAAGAGAAATAAGCCAGGCAAAGAAAGGCAAATATCACATGATCTCATTATATGTAGAATCTAAAGAGCATAATAAACTGATGAACAGAACAGATTCAGTGACATAGAAGCGTGGAACAGACTGACGAATGTCAGAGGGAAGGTGGTAGGTGGGAGAGATTAACCAAAGTTAAATGCATATATGTACAACTCATGGACACAGACAATAGTGTGGTGAGAGCCTGAGGCAGGGGGCGAGCGCAGGGTAGAAGGGGTCAATGGGGGAAAAGGGGAACATCTGTAATACTTTCAACAATAAAGATAAATTAAAAATAAATAAATAAATTTGCAGGGGAAAAAATGAGGAATTGAATCTGACCAACTTTTCACATCTCAGAGAGACTACACCAAAAACCTGTTTGTTCACAGGCAGGTTAGCCCAATGAAAGATTGTGAAACATTTTCCTGGGGTTATGGTTTCTGGGCAAGGTTTCAAAGGAATAAACACACCATTGCCAAGTGCCTCCCTCTGGCCTCTGTCCCTCTGCAGGCAGCATCTGGAGACACACTGCAGCAGACATTCCTGCAGACTTCGCATTCTGTTCTGTCACTGCTAGCCTGGTGCCTGTCCCACCAGGGGCGCCCCACCGCCCCACCAGAGGACGACCCACTAGGCAGGGTTGCCGGCATTCCCCAGAAGCTGCTATGCCGGGCTTTCAGAGTAGAAACCACCTTTTCCTCCTCCGAAAGAAAAGCCTTGGGTCATCCATGCACTCAGTGGCTTGCTCTGAACTGAGATAAGGAATGAACTCCCCACTAACTTACAAACCTTCTCCCAAGTCACATTGAATAACTCGGTATATATCAAATATATCTATTTCTGCCATACTGGTCCAAGTTTTAAAAAGGGGGGTGGGAACATCTACCATTACTCCGGGCAGGCTTATCTGCCAAGTCCCCTTCCTGTTGACAAAACAGGAAATGAAGGAAGAGAGTTGAAAATCTAGGCTTGATGGGTCGGTGAACACACTGAGGTGATGTGCCCGAGAAGGCATGGAAGCTCCCTGCCATTCCCAGCTCTCAGATCTTGCCATATAAATCTCTTCCGTATGGATGTTCTTGAGTTGTATCCCTTATAATAAACATGAAAAGTAAACTGTTTTAAAAAATTGACTTGATACAAAAAAGGAAAGATACCTGATCTCCAGCCATAGGAAAAGTCACTGGCAGGTGACAAGAAGAGAACCAAGTCCATTCTTCCAAAGGGGAAGGTTCACAAAGACACAGTGGCAAGAATACTCAGAGCAAGTGAGTCTGAGTAAGTGAGTGCTTGGGCCCGTGAAAAGCAGAACCCCTGGGACTCCAGGAGCCCTTAGTCTCACTCAAACACAATCTTGCTAGTTTTCACAGCTGAAAGTTATGGGTACTTGTCTTCCCAGTGCTGGAACCCTGGGCTGGGGTGCCTGGTGTGGGATGGGGACCCCTATCTCTTCAGGGGGGACCTCCACAGTTGAGCTATCCCTCCCAATTTTTAAGCATCATATGTGGAAGTGGGACCAGCCTGTTCCATGTCCTCTACTGCTCCTACCAGTCTCAACGTGGCTCCTTCTATATATTCTTATTTATAGGACTTCTGTTCGGCTAGATTTCAGACATTCTGAATGATGGTTGTTCTATAATTTAGTTGTAATTTTGATGTGGTTGTGGGAGGTTCTGAGTACCATGTTTACTTACACCATCTTATTGGTTGGAACTCTATTGAAAGAATTTTTAAGAATAAAAAATAAAACTTCCACAAACAACCCAATTTAAAAACAACCTGTTTTTCCAAATAAGCCATACACACGGCCAACAAGCATATGAAAGGATGCCCAACATCACTAATCATTAGTGATGCAATGAAAATCCAAACCACCATGAGAATACCACCTCACGCCCATCTGGGTGGCTACTATCAAAAACCAGGAAAATAAGTATTGGCAAAGATGTGGAGAAATTAGAGCCTTTGCATATTTTTGGTAGAAATGATGCAGCTGCTGTGAAAAACAGTATGGTGGCTCCTCAAAAGAATGACACACAGCATTATCCTAAGATCCAGCAATTCCACTTCTGGGTAAATACCCAAAAGAACTGAAAGCAGGGTCTTGAAGAGATAATTTGTACTATGTTCATAGCAGCAAAATTCACAGTAGCCCAAAGGTGGAAGCAACCCAAGTACCCACCAATGGATGAATGGATAATCAAAATGTGGGATATTCATACAATGGAATATTTTTCAGCTGTTAAAAGGGGGGAAATTCTGACATAGATGAACCTTGAGGACATTATACTAAAAGAAATAAGCCAGTCACAAAAAGGCAAATATTGTATGACTCCACTTCTCATGAGGTGCCTAGAGTAGTCAAACTCATAGAGACAGAAACTAGAATGGCGTTTGCCAGGAGCTTGTGGGAGGGGGAATGGGCAGCTATTGTGTAATGGATAGAGTTTCAGTTTTGCAAAATAAAAAGAGTTCTGGAGATTGGTTACACAACCATGTGAATGTACTTAACAGTATTGAACTGCACATTTAAAAATGGTTAAGCCCGGTGGGGCACAGCTCAGCGGTTGAGTGTCAACCTAGGATCCAGGTGATCGGGGTTCGATTTCCGGTCAGGGCACATGCCCGGGTTGCTGGCTCGATCCCCAGCAGGGGGCGTGCAGGAGGCAGCTGATCACTGACTCTCTCATCATTGATGTTTCTATCTCTCTCTCCCTCTCCTTTCCTCTCTCTGAAATCAATAAAGATATATATATATTTTTTAAATTTTAAATGGTTAAGATGATAAAGTTTATGTTATTTGTATTTTACCACAATTTAAAACAAAAACAGAACTTTCCAAGGCCAAGCTAACTTCACTGATGCTGACAGAGGCTGGCAAAACAGAACTGCCCAAGTCTGCAGGAAAGAAACAAATCCCAGAGAAGAATGCCAAATGTCTACCAAGGATCTTAATCATGTTGTGAACAACAGACTGCAGTTTCTCCCAGTGTTTCCCCCTCTGCACACCCTTCCATTGCTGGGCACTACAGAAACTCAGTTCTTGTCCTCTGGGGAGGTCTAGCTACATAATTTGTGGGGCTCGGTGCAACGCATTAAGAATTTCAAAACAGCCCTGGCCACTGTGGCTCAGTTGGTTGGAGTGTCGGCCATCGTCCTGTACACGCAGGTTCAGTTCCTGGTCAGGGCACACACCTAGGCTGCAGGTTTGATCTGCTGTCAGGGCATGTATGGGAGGAAACAACCGATCGATGTTTCTCTCTCCCCCCCCCTCCTCTCTCTCTAAAATCAATGAAAACATATCCTTGGGTGAGGATTTAAAAAAAGAAAAAGAAAAAGAATTTCTAAACAGTGACAGTTACGCATTAGAAAAGCATGGGCTGTCTGTGACTGCACAGGCTATATGCCCGTGAAGCCAGCCCAGGCTGAGCCCCACGGAGAAGAGCAGATGACAGTGCAACACGGCAGTGTGCTGGAGCCGTCTCAAGCCAGCTAATGAGAGCATTGCTAGAGTCTCAAAAATTCTGCAGTACAGTTCATATATTGGTAAACTGAAAGCCATGGAAATCAGCCTCTCTCTCTCTCTCTCTCTCTCTCTCTCTCTCTCTCGGGGGCTGGGGTAGAGAGCAGAGCTGATGGTTAAACATTTACCAACACACCAATGACCTACCTGTAAGGCTTGACAGATTTGCTTAATGTCTGAACCAGAAAGTAGTTCTTTCTCCTGGCGCCCCTTGGCTCCCTCCACAACTGGGGCACACCACTTAGGGGCAGGGGCTGAGGCTGCCACTTCGCTGGTCCTCGGCTTTCTTTGCTCAGCTTCTGCAAAAATGAGAAAATATTCTTTGTTTTAACTATGTCTGGCTATGCTGGTTTTAAGTTTGCTTGATTAGCTGGTCAATAGATCCATCCAGCAAGGTTTCTGTTTTAATGTTCTCTCTGCTGGGGAGACTGGAATTGGAAAATCAATGCTGATGGATACATTAGACTAATTTTGAAGACCATGAATCCTCACATTTTACCCACGTTAGACTTAAAGCTCAGACATATGAACTCCAAGAAAGTAATATTCGATTAAAATTGGCCATTGTGAATACAATGAGATTTGGTGACCAAATAAACAAAGAGACCTACCAACCAATAGTGACTACATAGATGCTCATTTTGAGGCCTATCTCTAAGAAGAGTTGAGCCCGGCCGGGCGTGGCTCAGCAGTTGAGCGTCGACCTAGAATCCAGGAGATCGGGGTTCGATTCCCGGTCAGGGCACATGCCCGGTTGCGGGCTCGATCAATGACTCTCTCATCATTGATGTTTCTATCTCTCTCTTTCCCTCTCCTTTCCTATCTCTGAAATCAATAAAGATATATTAAAAAAAAAGAAGAAGAAGAGCTGAAGATTAAGCGTTCTCTCTTTAACTACCCGTTCTCATAGCCACGCGTGCCTCTGCTTCATCTCACCAACAGGCCACTCTCTCTGAAGACACTTGATTTCTTAACCCTGAAGAGCCTTGGCAACAAGGTGAACATGACACCACTGATTGCCAAAGCAGATATAATTTCTAATACTGAATTACAGAAGTTTAAGATTGAGCTCATGAGTGAATTGGTCAGCCATGGCATCCAGATATACCATTGCCAACAGACGATGAAGCTATTGCTAAAATCAAGGCTTCAGTGAAGGGCACTTGCCATTTGCTGTTGTAAGAATGTGGACACTGAGGAGGAAGAAGGGCCCCTGTTGGCTAACTGGGCTCAAATTAAAAAAAAAAGAAAAGCAGAACCTAGTAGCCATTTCTGCACAGGGGCCTCACCCAAGCTGCACTATGCAGAGAAGCCTGGCACTAACCCGCCTGCCTGCGTCTGTTTCTGCCACCTGAACAAGCCCTGACAAAGGTTTTCTGGAATCCTAATTCAACCAGTAGGACGGAGGCGTTCCCCATCCAATCGGAGCTGCGCAGCTCTGACCAGAGCGCTTCTATTCTGACCAATCAGGACAGTATCTTTGGATCTTCAGGGACCTATGAAGCCAAAAGACAAATTTGATAGGGAATGTGAGAGGAAGGGAGAAGAAATGAAGCAGATGTTTCTGCAGCAAGTAAAGGAGAAAGAAGCCATAGTGGAAGAAACTGAAAGAGAGGTGCAGGCTAAATTTGAGGCCTTAAAAGAGTTTACCAAGAAGACACAATGAAACTGGAAGAAAAGAGAAGAAAGAATCGTTCTTTTAAAAGAAAGCTACAAAAATAATAAATACATAATAAATAAGTAAATAAATAAATACATACATACATACATACATACATAAATAAATAAATAAATAAATAAATAAATAAATAAGTAAGTAAATAGAAAGCTACCTCGCCTGGCTGGCGTGGCTCAGTGTTTGAGTGTCAACCTATGAACCAGGAGGTCACGGTTTGATTCCCAGTTAGGGTACATGCCCGGGTTTCAGGCTCCTCATTAGGGGGTTTGCAAGAGGCAACCCATTAATGAATCTATCATTGAGGTTTCTATCTCTCTCTCCCTCTCTCCCTTTCTCTCTCTAAAATCAATAAAAACATATATATACAAAAAGAGAGAGAGAGAGAGAGAAAGCTACCTCTGGGATATACCAGACCAGACTTTTATGGAAATGGGTAGCAACCTGAAAGTGAACAAGGACTGTAAGAACTCCAATTTTGTATAAAACAAAGGTTCCAGATCACAGAAAGTCATCATAAGCAAAAGTTATTAAAATTAAGCTGTGATTTTCTTGCTGCTTTTATTTGCTGTATCACTTATTCTGTATCTGGCAAATGGCTACAGTTACTGCTATTTATGGAAAAATAATTTTAAGTGTAAGGTCAAAACATAGGTCAGAGTGGATGATGGCACTTATTCTATTTTATTTCTTGTTTTGTGTTTATCATTTTAATAATTTTGTTAGTTCTTAAGATTTGTTAATGTACTTTACTAAATACCATTTCAGAACATATGGTGCTTAATGTGTCAGATAATTGCCAACTATAGATTACGAAAGCATTATTACCTCAAGCGTCAAAACCAGAACTCAGACTATAATAACAGAAAGAAAAAAAAAGAAGGAAGGAAGGGAAAAGAAGGGAGAGAGAGAAAGAAAACCCATTTTTGAGGTAGATATTTAGTCTTTAATATATTTTTATTAAAAATTTTTAATGTTCACATTATTGCAGGTGTCCCTCTTGCCCCCCACACTTTGCCTACCTCCACCCAACCCCACTTCCCCCTCCCTTGGCCTTCACCACACTATTGTCTAAGTTCATGGGGTATAACACTCTTTAGCTAATCACCTTCTTTATCCAGTCACCCCCTCAGGCACCAGCCAGTCATGTATCCATTTTGTTCATCAGTTTATTTTGTTAATTAGATTCCACATATTAGTGAGATCATATGGTATTTGTCTTTCTCTGACTGGTTTATTTCACTTAGCATAATACTCTCCAGGTTCATCCATGCTGTTGCAAAGGGTAAGAGGTCCTTCTTTTTTTATAGCCTCATAGTATTCCATTGAATAAATATACCACAGCTTTTAAAAGTGGTAATTAAATAAATATGTTATATATATAAAATGTGTTTCTATGGAACCATTAATAAAAATGAGCTATATCTATGGGAAAATGTCAGATATATTAGGTAAGAATAAAGTAAGTTATAGAATATGATTAGCATGCTCTTACTTACTTAAATATATATTAATCTTCACACACACACACACACACACACACACACACACACACACCCCAATTGTCTCCATTAGAAGAAAAGCTACAAAAATATGCTCCAAACACTGGTTATCTCTGGGGTATGGGTTGTCAGTGAAGGAAGAAGAGAGAGACTTTTACCTTCTATCTTCTGTATTGTTGTCATTATTTAATTTTTATTTAATTTTATTATAATTATTATACATATTTTTAATAATGAATTTAAAATACTAAAACACACCAAAGCTCAAGAAAACTGAGAAAGTTACCCTGGTGGTTCTTAAATAGAGGTTCTGTCCTAACCAGATACAATGGACTTTGTCCTTGGATCACACTCACAGAAAGTTTAAAGTCTGCATACCTACTATTTTTTCAGCCCTTCAGTCCTTCATCCTAAATGGCAGAGCTAAGCCCAAACTCTTAGGACTGTAGAAAGTCACTATTAAAATATTAATTGACACCTATAATATAATAATAAGTATATATTTGGTCTCTGCTCTCTTTGCTGGCACACAGCTCCTAAAGTCCTTAGAGTCTCTGAAGTGATGTGTCTTTTATATGCCTAATAGATGGCTGGTGGTTGGGGCTCCTGAATAGCCTCAGGACGGGGGCTGGTTGCCAGGAGAACCAACCATGTGACTGGAGGAACTTACCCTCAGACCTCCAGGAACGAGAGGTGGGCTGGAGGTTGAATTCATCATAAAGGTCAATGATTTAATCAATCATACCTACATTTGAGACCTCCATAAAAACCCTGACTGAAGGGCTTCCAGGTTGGTGAACACGTGGAGGTGTGGGAAGGGTGAACTGTCTGGAGAGAGCCTGGAGGCTCCATGTTCCTTCCCCCATACCATACCCTATGCATCTATTCCACTCGGCTGTTTATTTTATAATAAAACAGTAATCTAGTAAGGAAACTGTTTTCCTGAGTTCTGGGGCCATTCTAGCAAATCACTGAACACGAGGAGGGAATCATGAGAACCATCGGTCTGTACCCAAATTGGAAAGATGTTGTGGGTACTCTGGGGACCCACTACTTACAATTGGCATCTGGGGGGGTTAGTCTTGGGGACCTGAGAACTTAACTAATTTAGTTAGGGTCTGTGCTAACTCTGGTTAGTGTCAAAATTAAGTTAAATGTAGAACACCCAGTTGGTGTCTGCAGACAATTGTTTTGAGTGGAAAAACCCACACATCTGGGATCAGAAGTGATCCAGAAGTGTTGGTGTGATATTAGAAGAAAACAAGAGTTTTTATTTCAACACACAAAGGATATCACACAGCAGGTAGGTTGTAGAAAAGAAAAATCAAAATGAGAATCCTTCCTCTGATATAAAGCTCAGTTCTCAAGACTCATGGAGGAATTTACTACATAAAAACTAGAGTGACTACTGCAGAGTTCCAATATCCAAAGTAATCTGCTCACCTGCCCTGTGTTTACCCTGTGTGGGTTACCTTACAGGAAAATGGCAATGTGATTAGAAAACAAAACCTCAGTGATCAGAGTTCAAGTGAGAATTCCAAATATACTTTCAATAGCAACTTCCTGCTTTTTATTTCTCACTTGATACCATGATGGGTAGAAGGCTTGTTTTTATTCTTCATAACTTTTATTAAACTATACATTTATTCTTTGCTTTAGTTATGGTTTGAGGTTTTATCAATTTAACAACAATATATTTTGTTCCAAAGTTCATTTTGTATTTGTAGCATTCTTAGAGAGGAATTTCCTTTTGGCTAGTTTCATTTTTAACCAGAGAAATTTGCACACTAGATTGAGTCACTGAACTAAAATATGGGTGTGGTATAAAAGCTTCAGGAATATACTCATGAGTTGTTATCCATAGCTCTTGTTTAACAGTGGACAAAGAGACTCAGAAAGACACAAATTTTAGCATATCGATACATGGTGAGGCAGCCGGTTTGATTTCTGCCCTGTACTATTACCTCTGTATAATACCACAGTAATACTACCTTTACAAGACAGACTAAAATAATAATAATAAATTTCTTCTCTGGTAGTAATTTCTGAGAATACATTATGAAAGTTTTCATGACTTTTCTCTCTGACGAACATATTCATAGCAGCATGTATTGACTTTACTCTGTGCCAGGCATGCATTTTATAGGGATTACAAAATTCATATCCTCAAAAAAGGACACAACAACCCATGAGGAGAGTGCTATGGTTATCCCTATTTTATAGATAGGGAAAGTGAGGCATAAAAATGCTAAGGAAGAGCCACTGCACCACGAATAAATGGTGTCCTGGCAATCTGACTCCATAGCATAATCCCTATGCTATCCTGCCTCCTTTTTTGTTATTTCATTCTAACCCATCTACTCTCACTCCCATATAAGAATGAGAAAAAGATATTTGTTTAAAACTACTTTCTCCCACTCGAATATAAGTTCCTAAAAGGAGCTTCTAAAACTAACTGTGTCTAGTACGAAGTATGCATTCAATAAATGAGCGGAATGAGCAAACTCAGGAGAAGTCTGGCTTTCCCGAGAGACGCTTATCAGAGCGATGGGTAAACACCACACATGACCAATTAGTTTAAGAACTCCCAGGGCCTGGGGCAAGCAAGTGAGCGTAAGTTGTTTACCTTTCTCTTGTCTGTATTCTTCTATCTTTCTCATAAGACTGGGTGCAACGGTTGTGCAGAGATTCTCCAGTAACGTTAGATTATCTGCATCTATTTTATCTTGTTTCTCCAGATGTTCCAGGAAACTTAGAGAAGTCTGCAAGAGAATCAATGGAGTCACATTTACTTGCCTACTGATCATCCATTCATTCGTTAAACACCGCCTATGTGCCACTAGGCACCAGGCTTTACACTGAGGAATCAGGTAGGTTGTTTATCCCAGAGGACTTCCCCCATGGCGTGGGGGAAGAGGCATAACCAAGTAAATCTCTATACAATCTATATTAATACCAGATATCAAATATATACATATACATATATATATGTAAAAGAAATATATACACATACATCTACATCTACATCCATATATATATATGCAAAAGAAAAATCTCAAGTACTCCTGGGAAAAACTGAAGATTGGCTAGTGTTATTTTAGTATTGAATTACATATGGGATAGAAGGCACACAATCTTTTCAATGATTAGGGCTTCCCAATATATTAAGCTGGTTATGAAAAAATATAGATGAACAAAATTATATTAGAACCCCCAGAAAAGAGAAAATACTCAGAAAGTGAACATCTGAACACTATCAGCAGGGTGGGATCAGGGGAAGAGGTCTGTAGACATGTTGAATGGTTGAACAGTTGAAAGGGGACAGTGTGTTTGGGATACTGAGAAGAAGGCTTTGAGTACAAACCGTGGGCCATGGCTGGAACAATGGGCTGATATCAGATGGTGAAAGAAAACACACATCATGTGAGAAGCTTGGGCAAGTGTCCCATGGGTCAAGGAGCACCAGTGGTAGTTTTTAAGAACAGATTTGTTTTTATTTTATTTTTTTATTTTTTATTTTTTAAAAAAATATATCTTTATTGATTTCAGAGAGAGGAAAGGAGACGGAGAGAGAGAGATAGAAACATCAATGATGAGAGAGTCATTGATCAAGCCCACAACCCAGGCATGTGCCCTGACCGGGAATCGAACCCTGATCGCCTGGATCCCAGATTTGTTTTTAAATAGAAGTCTTGGGTATAGGTTAGAGGAGGAATGGATTAGAGAGGAAATATTGGCAGAAAGATTAAATACTCTAGCGAAGAGAAGGTCAAGGCCTGGTCTAAAGCTGGTGGTGGAAATGCAGGGGAGGCACTGGATTTGAGAACATTTCTGAATTGTAATTTGGTGAGTTTCGAAACTCAATGGAAGTGGGTGAAGGCATCTTAAATGGTGATACCACTCCCTTATGTGTCATCTATTTGACATAGCATGCTTCACCCAAGCTGCCCATGGGAGATGATACTTGAATTGCGTCTTGGAGAGTGACTAGTCCTTCACTGCCAACATGGAAAGGACATTCCAGGCAAAGAAAACCATACGGGGAAAATGATGAGAAACTAAAATCTATTTATGTGGATGTTTGCAGTGGCTTCAGCAAGAATAGTTTCATTGGGGTGATGAAACCTGAAGCCATTCTGGAATGCGATGGAACGTGATCAGGAGCTGGGTTGGGGAAGGGAGTGCACGTAGGCTATTCTTTCAAGGAGTTGGGCAGCAGAGAGGGGGGAAGTCAGAGCAGTAACACAGGATGCAGAAGAGTCCATTAGAGTGTGTGCATATATATGATGCAGCCTTACTAAGCTCCGGTATAGAAAAATGACCTTTGTAGGGTGTTCTAGGTTTCCACACATATATATTTAATTGCAGAAAGAGAACAAAATGAAGATTAAAAGACAGTGTAAACATAAAATAAATAAAATTTAAAAAGAAAGCGATTGTGCAGCATATAATGGCTATATACTCTAACAATGTAGATGTATTTCAACAAAAAGGGGGGATGGATAATAGGTATAGCACATGCAAAACAAATGTTTCAGCTGTTGTAAATAATCATGTTGGAGGTAGAAGTATTAATACTGACATTCTGTGTAATGTAGAAGAAAACAAATAATGTGGCTAATTCTATAATACCTATGACATGAGGACCATGATTCTCAGTATGGGGAAAGAAAAAAAAGATACAGATATAATAAAAATAGAGGTTAAATTAAACAAAGTCATGTTACAGGGTAAAGTTTGAAAATTGGTCCCTTCAGAAATTAACTAACATGCTTGTCACAAGCTGCTATTGCAGTCAAAAGAAAAAAATATAAAAGTCTTGAGGCCTGGAAGAGAGACATACAGCTACTTTCCTGCCAATATAGCAAGAATATTAGCAAATGTGACCAATATAGTAAGAATATTAGCAAATAGCATTATATTAATATTAAAAACATTACTATTAGCTCAAAGCACCTATATAGCCCTTTACAAAGCACATCTTCAAACTTTATTTCACTTGATTTTCACAGAAACCTTATATGAGAGACACTGCGAAGTCCACTGGGAATGATCCAGGGCTCCCTCAGACCTCTCGATCAGTGTAGATAATGAACGATTGGTTCCCACTCTGCCATTATTTCCCACCTCCTCATTTCTTGATTGTGCCCTGAACATTTCTGTATCATAAAACACAGTGGGTACCAATAGCAGTTAGCCATTTACCACATGGTTACTGTATGTCAAATACAGGCCCTATGCTAATGCTTCATGTACATTATTTTCTCTAATCCTCCCAGCAGTCTTGGAAGGAAATGGTATGGCACATGAGAAGGTGGAGACTCAGAAATCTTCGATCACTAGCCTCACATGTGGAGGAGTTTGTTGCAGAACCAGCACTAGAATCCAGGCCCATCTGACCTGGATTCTAGTTGATGGTACTGTCTCCTGCAAGAAATACACCCTCTTGAAAATCCTTTCCAGCATCTTCCCAAACACAGATGAAGACAATGCTCACAAAGACCCCATTCTATATGACCCACTCACCACTGTCTCCACTCTTGGGAACAAATCCTTCAGAAGGAAGATCATGCTCTTTAAGCTGTCTGAGACGATGTTTTCTGACAGGTCGTAGAGCAGTTTTCTAAGACATACACCCAAAGAGACAAATGAAGCCTCACACAGGAAAAGGACAGCACAGTAAACCAAGTGCTTCTACAAATGTTCTCTCTCATGTAAATGATCACAGCCCTGTGATTAATCCCATTTTATAGATTCAAACACTAAAAAAGATACAGATATAATAATACAGATATAATGAGCTTCAAAGTGACCTCTTAAATTAAGATAACATAGTAAACAGTAGGGACAGGCCTTCTGATTCCAAGCCCAGTGCTAGGAAAGCATAAAACACAATTTTGGTCTCGCATCTCTCAACTCCATTGTAGAAATTCAGGCTTACTTTATAGGCCCTTGGCAGAGAGAACCTGATGCCAGGCAATGTAAAGTCCACTGGTGAAAAAGGAAGGATAGTACCCCGACTTCTGGGTGGTCATTGTAATACATTACCAGTAAAACTGAACCTTTCATTCACACACTAATAATCATGCCTCAGTTGTTTAACAGCAGAGTAGAAATAATGATTTCCAGAATTCCCTCACTGACCCAAGGGTAGCTCAGGTTCTGGAAGTCAGTCTGAATGTTAAGGCCTGAAAGACATAATCGCCCAGGCGATTAGATAAAATAACACTCTTCCTTGTGAAGGTCTCTGCAGATACTATGTCAGTGGACAATTTAAAACTGTGTTTNACACTCTTCCTTGTGAAGGTCTCTGCAGATACTATGTCAGTGGACAATTTAAAACTGTCCAATCTAAGATCTGACCATGATAGGCCTGATGTCTATATTTCACCTCTCTGTGTCTAACCCCAAAAATGTAACTGGACATGGCATAAATTATACCCTTCCTTACCCAAGAGACATTATTTTCACGTTGCTTAGTTTGCATTCCTTTCTTCTCAGATCACTGAATATAGGCAGACACATCCAGAAGGAAAAACTGTCTGAGGGTATGGAGGCTGGGAAAGAAAAGTGTGGGCCTGCTACACCGAGGTGGACTTCCCTCGGCAGTGAGATACAAAACTAAGGGAAGCTACTGCCAGGCTGAGGGTCCCAACCTCTCATCTCAGTAGTACCTAGAGCTGAGAAATCCCCTAGTGTTGATAGGTCACTATAACATCCAAGGAGGCAGATAACAAATAGATCTTAATCCCAGTCTCCTTTCAAGGCCCAATGGCCTGAATGAACCCTAAGTGGAAATCCCTCCAGTCTTGATTACAGACCCCTCCTCACCTGAATGGAGAGACCTTCCTCTGAGTAGGCAGCAAACTCTCTACTTGCTGTTTGGTGTAGTTGAGGTGCTTCAGCAGGGAGTTCTGCTTCATGATGTAGAGGAGTTCCGCTAGGAGGAAGGGGTCTTCCTCGCTCAGCAGCTTCTCCGTCATGAGATGATCAAAAACGTCCAAGGCCGCGCTGGACCTCTCCAGCTTCTTGTGGGGGATGAAGTCTCGGCAGAGAAACTTTAATTTTTCCACCTCTAGATCTCCTAGGTTGAAATCGATGTTCAAAAGCCTTTTGCGAAAGTTCTCCGTGTCGTTATTATCTGCATTGGAAATCCCACTCTGAACTTGAGATGACATGGCCCGTCTGAAAAAGGCAGAAAGGTGGGGCGCGTCGGAGAGGAAGGACACGGCACCTTGGCTCCCCGGCGGTCTCCCGGCTTCAGCCGCCTGTGTTCCAGGCACGAGTGCCGAAAAGTAAAAATTACTGAAATAAACACTATTGTGCGGTTCTTTCAGAAGTCACCAGCCTAGAAAATTCGACCCCCACACGTCTGCGTTAACTCGTTAGGAAGTCTGGGGGGGGAAGCTTTCTTTGGAACCCATTTTCCCTGACTTCTGTGAAATCAAAATGTCCTCCGGAGAAGCAGCGAAATGGTTGGCGCTCTTTTATTTTTAAATGTATTTTTTTATTTATTGATTTTGAGAGAGAGAGGGAGAGGGAGGAAGCGAGAGAGAGAGGTGGATTATTTATGCGCCCACTGGCTGATTCAACCAGCAACCCTGGCCTATTGCGAAGATGTTCTAACATCTGAGCTACTCAGCCAGGGTCTGGTTGGAGCTCTTAGGTCATTCCCACCAAAGGGCAGAAATAGCACTTAGATTTATGCCCCATATTTTAGAAACAAAGCAATGGGGGATTTTATATTTCTGAAGTGCTTACCAGCCCAAGGATAGCAAGGTAGCTTTGCTAACCCGCAGAAAAAGCAGCCATAACCCTAGACCCCAGACATAAAGGGAGGTTTTAGGCAAGGGTTGCTCAAATCAGTTATAAAAAGTCACCAATTAACTACACTAATAAGAGGAGCAATAAATTGATAAAATTTTTCAATGTAGCATTACTCAAAATATAAAAATGAGGTAGATATTTTCATTACGCAAGACTTGGCCATTTAGAAAGAAGCAGCTGCTTTCTAAAGGAAAGCGTACATAGCAAAAACAAAACATCAGTAACAAAGAGCGGTTATATCTAGGTGGTGTAATTATATAAAATACAAATTTTCTCCTGGGTTCCTGTCTGAGTTTCTCAAATCTTATGCAACGGACACGTATTACTTTTATTATTAGAAAAACGAAATCAAAAAAAGTCATTTTAATGGGATCACCCCTTCAGCAGCCCTGTGACACTAGAAATCAAGTAATTAATTGGTTTTCTTAGAGACATGTTCCTATTCTAACACATCAGACATTTGCTTTGAAGTTTCCTGGAGATCCTGAATCTCTAGCTTTGGTGGGTAAGTTAGACTTCTTATTTGTAGACTAGCATATTTCTACTAGTAAAAGGCTGTGTCGGAGCCTTACTGGGGCTTTTAAAACTTTAATTTTCCCCGGGAAGGCTAATAAATCCAGGCAGAAACGGTGCCATTGCTGAAAACAAGAAGCAAGGGGAAAATGCTGGAATGTAAGACCCGCAGCAGGGAAAAGGTGTTAATTACATACCTTCAAATCAGCTTTCACTGATCCTCTGGAAGTAAGTGGTTCTTGGGGAAATTGCCTAAAAACGACGTTTTAAAGAAATTAGAATCCTCTGTGTGCTCCAGGCTTCAAGAAAGCTCCCATTTACACAGGAAAAAAGCTCAAGAGTTATTGGCTATGCAAATAAAAACTGGAAGTTCGGGCTTTCTATTAGCTCCCTGCTGACGTCGCTCTCCTGGCATTAGGACAATCTTGACCAACAGCGCCTCCTACCATACACAACTTTCCCACTGTAGGTGGCAGGATTTTCCCAGGTGAAGCCTGGGAAATGAACTCCTGGAAGGCCCTCAGTGTCCAGCCTTTCCCTGGGGTCACTCTCTTCCATTGGTCATAAGGGAAAGTGTCCATTTTTCCAACCACCTCCTTCCCCAAATTCATTTAAGCCTTAAAACCCAGAAACTCATGAACAGTAGTCACCCATTTTAGCCTTTTCTCAACAATTCCATTGACAAATAAACAAAAAATATTTATTAAAGCAAAAAAGAAGAAAGAGGAGGAGGAGCTGAAATATAAGCCAATTTGAGGTATTTGCAAAGAACTCAAATAACAGTAGACAAAACTGATGAAGTCTCTATCCTTACAGCACATTCAGTCCAGCAAGAAAGAGACTTTGAAGACATTATTCCTAAGAATAAAAACAATACCTAACACTTATATCACAATCACTATGCGCCAAGCATGCTTTGTTCAATCAGTTCAAGTCTCTAACATAAATACTATTACCATGACCCCTCTTTTAAGACATGGAAACTAGCCTGGCTGGTGTGGCCCAGCAGTTGAGCATCAACCTAGGATCCAGGAGATCGTGGTTTGACTCCTGGTCAGGGCACATGCCCGGGTTGTGGGCTCGATCCCCAGTGGAGGGCATGCAGGAGGCAGCTGATCAATAACTCTGTCATCATTGACGTTTCTATCTCTCTCTCTCCCTCTCCCTTCCTCTCTCTGAACTCAATAAAGACATATGTTTTTTAATTTAAAAAGAAAGACCCAGAAAGGTTAGGTAATTTGCCCAAGTTCACACAATGAGCTAGTGGGAAACCCAAAACGCAACCAGCAAGTTTGGCTTTAAGTCACTACACTATAACTCATCTAATTCAAATGTGCTGAGTTCTGGGGAGAAGTACAGAATCTTGGAAATATATTTTATTGTTGAAAAAAAGTAAAATTTATGATGCTTTATTAGCAAATGCGTTAAAGTGCCATTTCCAGATCCGAGGCATCATCCAGAGAACTTCCTGAAGAAAGACAAGCCCTAGCGGTGATGGTTGCACAACAGTGTAAATGTACTTAATGCCACTCAATTGTACCCTTAAAAATGGTTAAAATGGGGCGTCTGGTCAAGATAGCAGCATAGGTAAGTGTGGTACTCACATTCTCCCACAACCACATCAAAATTATAAATAAGATACAGAAAATCACCATTCAGAACCGCCTGAAATCTAGCTAAATGAAATCCAGTAACTACGCATTTAAAGAAGAAATGACATCAAGACTGGTAGGAGGGGTGGAGATGCAGAAAAGGCTGGTCCCACACCCACGTGTGACGGATAAAAATTGGGAGGGATGTCTCAGCTGCTACAGAAGTCCCCCCTGAAGAACAGGGGGTCTCAGCCCCACACCAAACCGCCCAGCCAGGGTTCCAGTGCCAGGAAGAGAAGTCCCCATAACTTCTGACTGTGAAAACCAGGAGGGATTTTGGCTAAGTGAGACAGAGGGCTTATGGAGTCCCAGGCAGTTCCTCTCAAAGGACCCACTCACAGAATTACTTGGACTTGCTCCCTCTGAGCTCCAGCACTGGGGCAATAGCTTGAAAGCACCAGGGCAAGAGCTGGAGATGGAGCTTTCTGCCAGACATAAGTACTGACAGAGGTCGTTGTTCCTTTTCTGAGACCCCCTCCCCCAACAGAGCCAGCAGGCAGGTGCCATATCTGAGTCTCCACCAACCTGGCTGCATATAAAGGGAGACCCATGGCACCTCATCTTCCCAGGCCCTCTCCTAGTTTTAGCCTACTCTGTTCCAGGCATTAGACTTTCCTAGAAGTGCTGAAAAATAAAAATTACTGAAATAAAATTTATTTCGTGGTTACTTCAAAAACCAATAGCCCAGAAAACTCGACCCCAGCATGTGTATACTAACCCTGCAGAAGGTTTGGGGGGAGCTTTTTCGGGACTCATTTACCCTGATTTCTCTGAAATCTAGCTCTACCTAGATATCCAGGCAGGCAGGGTATTCTTCCCTAGATGGGCAGGCAGGGTATTCTTCCCTATTACATTCTTAGGTGTTTTATCCACGTGTATTTTTACCTGCAGTCGCAGACTAAAGGTCACATTCTGAGGCTGAAGCTTTCAAATGACCTGAGTTCCAACATAGCTTTCTTCAGTTTAACCAGTAGCTTTGATAGTACTGTGTACCTAGTTCTATAAATTTTTTTTAATCCTCAGGATTTAATCCGAGGATATTTTTTCCATTGCATTTTAGAGACAGTGGAAGGGAGGGAGAGGAAGAGAGACAGAGACAGAAACAGAGAAACATCCTGTGTCTCACATGGATTGGTTGCCTCCTGAATGTGACCCAGCTGGGCTGGGGATCAAGCCTACAACCCAGGTATGTTCCCTTGACCGGGAATCGAATCTGAGACCCTTTGGCGCATGGGCTGACGCTCTAACCACTGTGCCACACCCACCCAGGCCCTAGTTCTAATTTTAAGTGATCATATTCAAATTCAAAAGAATCCAGTAAAGTCATGTAAGATATTCTCCCCTCCTCTGAAAATTCTTAAGGGGACTTTTGAAACTTTCTCCCCAAAGGTAGGAAAAGTAACAATGAAAAAAGTACCAGTCCAAGGAAAAGGGACTCCTCCTACCACATGACTGTGACTATTGATCCCACTGGACTACTACTTCCTGAGGATAAAATTCATGAAAGATGCAGCCCAACCAACATAGTACTAAACAAAAATAAAACATTCATGAATGATAAAGGTCTGTGGACTTCTATGGGGGGGTTAATTCAGTTCCTAATACCCAAAATTAAATGGGCTAGAGTTCAGGGGTGGCAGAGTAAAGATGTAGAAGTTGATCTAAATATCTGCAGGGGAGCAGAACAAGCAGCAAATATTTCAAAGGAAAAATAGGGAACAAATGGTAAGTTCAATAGAACAAGTCTGAAATCTGAAGGGATGCAAAAATTTAAAACAAAGTTTGGGAGTCAAAGTGAAAAGACAACCCACAGAATGGGAGAAAATATTCGCAAATATTATATCTGATAAGAGACTAGTATCCAGAACATATAAAGAATGCTTAATAACTGAACAATAAAAGGCGATCAATTAAAAATGGGAAAGTATTTGAATAAATATTTCTATAAGGATGATATACATATGGCCAATATTCAGGCAAAAAGATGCTCAACATCATTAGTCATTAGGGAAATGCAAATCAAAACCACAGTGAGATACCAATTCATACCCAGTAGGATGGTTATAATAAAAAAGATGAACAATAACAAGTGTTGGCAAGAATGTCAAGAAATTGGAAGTCTTTTTTGTTAAGTATGTTTTTATTGGTTTCAGAGAGAGAAAGGGAGAGTGAGATAAATAGAAACATCAATGATGAGAATCATTGATTGGCTGCTTCTTGCACACCCCCTACTGGGGATCGAGCCTGCAACCCTTGCATGTGCCCTGACCAGGAATCGTACCATGATCTCCTGGTTCATGGGTCGATGCTCAACCACTGAGCTACACTGGCTGGGTGAAATTGGAACTCTTATATGTACACTGCTGGTGGGAATGTAAAGTGGTGCAGCTACTTAGGAAAACTAGCAGTTCTCAAAAAGTTAAACATAGAGCTACTGTATAACCCAGCAATTCCACTCCTATATATATACCCAACAGAATTATAAACCTATATGCACACAAAAACTTATATATGAATACTCATAACAGCATCATTCATAATAGCCAAAAAGGTAGAAACAATTCAAATTTCCATCAATAGAGAAATAGACAAAATGTGGTATATCCATACACTGGAATATTATTCAGTCATAAAATGAAATGAGATACTGATATATTCCACAATATGGATGAAAACATTATGCTAAGTGAAAGGAGACAGATGCATAAAGTCATATGTTGTATGTTTTATTTATGTGAAATATTCAGAATAGTCAGATACATAAAGACTGAAAGTGGATTGGTAGTTGCTAGGGGCTGGGGGCAGGAGGAATAGGGAATGGTGACTAATAGGTATGGGGTTTCTTTTTAGGTAGATAAAATGTTCTGAAATTAGATCCTGGTGATTTCACAACTGTAAATATATTGAAAACCAAAGAATTGTACTCTTTAAAAAGATAAATTTTACGATATGTGAATTATATTTTAACGAAAAAAGAAAAAGAGATCTAGGATATGTCATAATCACACGTCACAACCTTGTGACAGCTAATTGTACGTGTTAACATGATGGCTAAGTGATATCCAGAGAGCCAGTAAACATTATTTCTGCATATGTCTGTGAGCATGTTCCAGAAGAGATTCGCATCTCCAATCATTAGACTGAGTAAAGAAAATCTCTCACCAATATGGGTGGGCAACATTGAATCCATGACAGGTCCAACAAAAAAGAGGAAGGGCAAATTCTCTCTTCAACTAGGATGTTCATCTTCTCCTACCCTCAGACACTGGAGCCCCTGGTCCTCTGAGCCTTTGGATTCCAGAAATTACAACAGCAGACCTCTCCACTCCTTCACTCCTCCACTCCAGCCCTCACCTCACCCTCCAACCACAATCTTCTTGTGTATGCCTGGAGAATCTTGACGATTTGAAGGAGGGAGGTGACAAAGCTGTATTTAAGGAGATTCTTTGGGTTGCTATGTATGAAATAATTGTAGAATTGAGAGGCTAGGGGCAAGATCGGTGAGAAAGCTATTGTCCTAGTTCAGTGAAGAGGCTGCTATGTTCACAGCAGCATTATTTGCAATAGCCAACATATGAAAACAACCTAAGTTCCCATCAATGGATGAATAGATAAAGAAGACG